CGGGAGGGGGGAGGAGGCCAGAGGGTGCTCTTGGAAACTGGGCAGTGCACTGTCTCTGGGGGCCGGGAGGAGGGCCTGTGGGTACCGAGCCGTGGCCCCTGCGTAGCCCTGGGCTCTGGCTCTGGCCCTTGCGCTCAGCTCCTCTCGGCTGCTGCACACCAGCGAGCCGTCTAGTCTGTGTGCCCCATGCAGGTGTCGGGAATGTTTGCACTCGGCTGTGTGTTCCATTCCGTCTCTCAAAGACATTTTAAAAATAAAATCAGCCATTTTAAAAAATTGAAATATAGTTAACTTACAGTGTTGTAGTTCCAGGTGCACAGCACAGTGATCTAGTTATAAATGTGTCTGCTCTATTTCAGATTCCTTTCCGGTACAGGCTATTGCAAGGTATTGAACACAGTTGCCTGTGCTGTGCAGTAGGTCCTTGTTGTTTATCTGTTTTATATACGGTAGTGTGTATATGTTGATCCCACATTTCAAATTTATCCCCCCCCCCCCCCACTTTGGTAACCATAAGTTTGTTTTCTATGTCTATGGGTCTATTTGTGTTTTGTAAATAAGTTCATTTGTATCATTTTTTTAGATTCTACATGTAAGTGATATCACATGATATATGTCTTTCCCTGTCTGGCTTAACTTCACTCAGTATGACAGTCTCTAGGTCTATCCATGTTGCCGCAAATGGCATTATTTCATTCTTTTTTATGGCTGAGTAGTATTCCGTTGTGTGTGTGTGTGTGTGTGTGTGTGTGTGTGTGTGTGTGTGTGTACATCTTCTTTATCCACACATCTGTTGATGGACACTTAGGTTGCTTCCATGTTTTGGCTATTGTAAATAGTGCTGCAGTGACCATTGAGGTGCATGTATCTTTTTGAATTAGAGTTTTCTCCAGTCCCTCTCCCAGGGGTGGGATTGCAGGATCATATGGCAGCTCCATTTTTAGTTTTCTGAAGAACCTCCATGCTGTTCTCCATAGTGGCTGTGCCAATTTATATTCCCACCAACAGTGTAGGGGGGTTCCCTTTTCTCCACACCCTCTCCAGCATGTCTTATTTGTCGACTTTTTGATGATGGCCATTCTGACCTGGTGACGTGGTACCTCATTGTAGTTTTGATTTGTATTTCTCTAGTAATTGGCGATGTTGAGCATGTTTTCATGTCCCTGTTGGCCACCTGTATGTCAAAGACATTCTTGGTGTATGTTCTCCCGAGCCATGGTGCTGAGCTAGAGGAGGGGGTTCAGATTGAGGCCCAGTGCTGCTGAGAGTGGGTGGCCTTTGAACCAGCCATCAGTGTCTTTGAGTCTCAATTTCCCCATTTGCAAAATAGAAACAGTGGACAGCAGGGCTGCTCTGAGCATTAACTGAGATCGTTAACCTGGAATACTTTTGAAAATTACGAGGCATTGGGCATGTGGGTATCTGTTGTGGTTGTTACATTGCTGCTGTTCTCATACCTGGGTTTTGAAGCAGAAGGGAGGAAAGGCAACTGGAATGCACTGGGCACCTCCCCTGCCAGCTGCCTGGTAGGTGCTTTCAAATCCTCTGCATGGTGACTTTGTTATGTATCAATCCTATTTTTACAGGTGAAGTAAAATCAAGGCTTATAAAAGTAGTGTCCCCAGTGTTACATGGCTAGCGGCTGGCTGTGGTGTGAGCCCAGGTGGCGGCGAGTGCACAGCTCCACACCCCGCTGCTCCGGGGACGGTGCGCAGGCCCTAATTCGCCCCAGGTCTGTGAACCGCTAGTGGCTGGCGTGGCTTTGGGCCGCCTTCTGGTGTCAGCCAGTCCCCCTTCAGGGCACAACCAGCACTGACACGTGTCCTTGATCCCCCCAGGACCCCAGAGGACCTGTCCAGGTTCATCGTGGAGCTGCAGCAGCGCGAGCTCACCCTCAAGGACAGGAACAGCTCCATCACCAGCAGGTAGGCCTGACGGCCCATGGTTTTGTGGCGACATGCCCGCTTCGGAAAGCGGGGTGCCAGTGAGTGTGCCCCTGGCTGAGCAGTGGCTGTGCTTTACGGTCTCTGCCTCGGCCTGAGAGAGCGGGAGCTGGGGCAGCGGGGTCCCCCGTGGCAGTGAGGCTCAGCTGAGGCGGCGGGCGCACTGTCATCTGGACGCTGTGGCAGATCAGCCCTGGAGCCCTGGGCTGGCTTCCAGGGCATGGGGTCTGGGCGGAAGACGTGCGCCCCACCAGGAGCATTTGCGTCTTTGTGGAGGCGTGGGCTCTGAGTGGCCCCATGAACGTGTGGAAACCTGGAACCTGGGTTGAAGTGTCTGAGTGTTTGTATGTGTGTGGACTTGTGCCCTCGGGAAGGGTCCCATGTAGCAGCACAGCCGGGCCATTCGTGTCCACGCCCGGGCAGGCAGCTCTGACTCCCTCCAGGGCCTGAGGAACTGGTTCCATAGCAGTTCTGCCTCTGACACCTGCTGGGTGCCCCAGGAGTCAGTTCAGCTCTGCCGCTAACTCCTAGGTCAGCCAGACCCGACAGGTGAGGGCTTGGTCCCACAAGGCGTGCCTGCCCCAGGCTACCCGCAGTTCATCTGACTGCAAATTCGGGGTCCCCCCAAGCCCTCTCTGATAGTTTGCTAGAATGATTGACAGAACTCAGGAAAGCACTTTATTTAGGGTTACTGGTTTATTACAAAGGGTGCAGCTTGGATCAGCCAGCTGGGAAGAGATGCATGAGGCGTGTGTGTGGGATGGGGGCAGAGCTGCTGTGTCCTCTCCAGGTGTGCTGCCCTCCCAGCTCCTCCTTGTGTCCAATGACTCGGAAGCCGCCTTGTTCAGCAGTGTCTATGGAGTTTCCTGCTTGATTAAAGTCATGGCCATCGGTGGTTCACTTGGTCTCTATCTCTGCTCCCCTCCCTGGAGGTGGGGCGGGGGTGCAGCTGAAAGTTCCAACTTCTCTTCCTCTGGTTGGTTCCTCTGGCTTCTCCCCCGCCCTTCCTGCCCAGGGCTCTGGCTGAAGGGGCTTGTTAACAAAAGGCACTCACCTCGTTCGGGAAATTCCAAGGGTTTGTGGAGCTCTGTGCTGCGTGGGGCACCAAACCAAGTGCTTGTTCGTCACCGAGCCGCACTTGGACTGTTGCAGGGCTGTCCGCCTCTGTCCCCTGGGGCCCAGGCTGGTTTCTCTCGTGCTTGCAGGGTGGCTGACCAGGTTCGGGGTGTCGCATAAGAGGCAGAAAGAGAGCTCTCCTTCTTGGGTCTCCTTTTTGGAACAAGGAAACCTGTCCGAGGACCCCCACTGGCGGCAGACTCCCCCCACCCCAGTCACTCTCACTGGCCCAAACGGGGTTGAAAGTCTGCCCCAGACCAGGTATCTGTGGAGGATGGTGTTAGTCAGTTCCCACGTGATTCACTTGAGGGTGGAAAGCTGAGTGAGGTCAGCCCCGCCCGCGGGTGAAGGGCTTGGGGGCAGGCTGAGAGGACGGTGACCACAGAGGGACCTCGGGTGCCCTGCACTGGCTGGCTAGCTGGTTGGGGGTGGAAGTCAGCCTGCTCTCCGCGAGCATCCTCCACGGCCCCACCCCCTGTGCAGATGGCATTTCAATAATTTATTAATAACCGAAGGAAGGCTTTCTTATTTGGGGGGCTGATGTCTCTTGGAAAATTGGCTTTTAGAAGCATCTGGTTATGTCAGACATAATCACATCAGTTTAGCTTGAAAACCTCAAATGAGGACTTCCCTGGTGGCGCAGTGGTTGAGAGTCCGCCTGCCGATTCAGGGGACACGGGTTCGAGCCCTGGTCCAGGAAGATCCCACATGCCGCGGAACAACTGAGCCCGTGTGCCACAGCTGCTGAGCCTGTGCTCTAGAGCCCCTGAGCCACAACTACTGAGCCCATGTGCCACAACTACTGAAGCCCACTCGCCTAGAGCCTGTGCTCCTCAGCAAGAGAAGCCACTGAAATGAGAAGCCTGCGCACCGCAACGAAGAGTAGCCCCCGCTCGCGGCAACTAGAGAAATCCTGCATGCAGCAACGAAGACCCAACACAGCCAA